CCCGCCCCCGCTCCCGCGGCGGCTGCCCGGGACAACCCTGCGCAGCGCGGCAGCGCAGCAGCCGCCAGGGCAGTGCAGCAGGGCAGTGCAGCAGGGCAGCGCAGCAGGGCAGAAGGGCAGGGCAGAAGGGCAGGGCAGCAGGCACCAGGGCAGCGCAGCAGGGCAGTGCAGCAGGGCAGAAGGGCAGGGCAGCAGCCGCCAGGGCAGTGCAACAGAGCAGCGCAGCAGACACCAGGGCACTGCAGCAACTGCCAGGGCAGCAGAGCAGCGCGGCAGGCAGCAGGGCAGCGCGGCAGGCACCAGGGCAGTGCAGCAGTGCAGCATGACAGCGTGGCAGTGCATAAGGGCAGTGAAGCAGTGCAGCGCGGCAGTGCAGCAGGGCAGCAGGGTAGCACGACAGGGGAGTGCAGCAGGGCAGCAGCGTAGCAAGGCAGCGTAGCAGTGTAGCAGGGCAGCGCAGCAGTGCATAGGGCGCTCCACGGGAGCACGAGCTGGAGCAGCGCGCGCACAAGCCCAGGGAAACCATGAAGCTTGGAAGGAGCCGAATCTGTTAATTTAAGCTAAAAACAACAGTAGGGATTCAGGCTGTTAAACCGATGTAGGTTTCAGAGGAAGATTTTTCCCCAACTCTTTTAGATAAAGGATGCCATGAAAATTGCTAAATGTCCAGGAAAGGGGTGAGGGAGTTACCACAAGCAGACCATTAGCTTTGTAACGAAAAGACATAAATCTCACGGCATTACCAGCCTTCTCCATATTAGATCCAAGGCAAGACAAAAGATTCTTTTGCTCAGATGTCTCAAGTGATTGTGAGTTGATCATGACCTGTATGTTCCCGAAAACCTCATGATGGGATCTTCAAAGAGCATTGCAAACACTACGTAAATAATTTGCTGTGATGACAGAATTTTTTATTTGCAAAAGTAAACTACCGAGAATTAAAATGCAAGAATATCACTTGAATACCTTCTCGGAAAAGTGCTTATTGCCAGCATTTTTTATGCTTCTCTCTTCAAGAGTCAGATAATGTTAAATGTTAAAGAAAACCCAGGTGATTATAGGAATTATTAAAAAAAATCCTTGCTTTCCATTGTGAAAGGTTCCCAAGAAATGTTTTAAAACGTAATTATACTTGTAGGAACAATTACAGTTTTGTACTGTGAGGGGAGCTGTTGGCACATAATACTAAGATTATGCATTAGATCATCCACTAGGTTCTGTAATATCCACTTCCAGCTATAAGGAGTCATGTTTCAACACCTCCGATTCCCTGATGCTGACAAGCTAAACAACTTGTTTTGTCTCTGGGAGCTCTTCTCTGGTGATTAACTGCTTATGGTGAATACTAATTATATGAAAGTACAGTACAGTAGAAATAGTGTCCTATTTCCTCTACCTGCAGCATCTTCATCCTCTTGTGTAGAAACAGGGTGCTGTTAATTCAGCTAAACCCAAAATGATGATATTTTTTAGTACCACAAATAGGTTAATCTGCCTCTTACAGCAAAACTTTCTTTATCCTTCTGTCTGCACAGTAAGTTTAAATGCAAAATACTGCATACTTGTAAAAGCTTGTAATAATTCCAGAAATAAACTTACAGAAGGATGTGTGCAAATGAGTGTTCTGTTGGTGGTAAAGGCAGAGCAATGTCCCCAGTTCCCCATGTCCCAGTTTGAAAATTTACCCCAAGTTATCCATTCTTTGAAACTGCACCTCAGACTAAAATATTTTCACCAGGGAATCTATGAGAATTTGTTCTTCAGTTTTAAATCTAAAGTGCCTTTTAAAATGCTAACACTGCAAAATTAGAAACCATTAAACAATATAAGGCAGAGAGTGATTAAATCTACCAAACACATTCAAAGCAGCTTAAGCTACTTTTTAATTAAAAAGAAAAAGATATCACTGGCAACATTCAGACATCTTCATCTAGATAAAGTAAGGAGATTATTCAAAACACAAAAGATGCTGATGTTACCATGCAGAAGACTGAATGAAAAGACTTGGAGATCTGAATCCCCCAGCCCTGGGTCTTTGGGCAGAGAGGAACTGAGCACAGTGAATGCTGCAGTGTGATCACTCTATGTTTGCTGATTAAATAAGTGACACTAACAGTGGCCTTGGAGGGAGGCCGTGTGTTCCTCCTTCCTTCCTGACAGGATGGTGAGTGAAATCACAGTGGCTGTAGCAATTCAGTAATGAGTAAAAGAAGTACGTATTAGAGAGGAAAGAAAATCCATTGGTGTTTCAAGAAACAGTTTTAATACATAAAAAAATGACTAAAGACAACACCATACTGTTGTTATTTTTTCTAAACAGCAAATTTAAGTAGAAAACAGCACACAGTTTTAGAGATATATTTAGACCCTGGGCTTGTAGCTCACATTCAGGCTTCACATTAACAGACACAGTTCTGCTGAAGCCACTGTAATTATGTCCACTCATTTCACAGCCAAATTCGGACCTGCAGCTTTAAGGTTTTTTTTTTCTTTTTGCCAGGAGCCAAAGATCAGCCTCCTTCAGGCTGAGATGATATCATCTACTCCAAGGTCCTGAAGCTCAGTGTCTGGTGTATTAGAAAATTTACTGGTGAACAGCCTCATCTCTGATTTTCTTATTACATATGACCATTACTTTGTTCATTACTTTAATACAAAATCCGTTTTTAACATCTACCACATCCTACATATTTTTCATCTTCTCTTTGTCTAGTAGAAAACGGCTCTTACCTAAAAAGCATGCCCTGAAATACAGCACAGGTACTTGGTAGCTGCTGGAGTACAAGACATGATACTCATAGCGAAGCACTTCTGCTGTTGCACAAACTCCATCTACTTGAGAATCATCCAAAGATTCCTAAAACAACAAACATGAACAAAATCATCCAGCAACTTGAGTATTTGCAACAAGGGGAAATTAATTACCACTACTGTAATTAATTTAATAAACATAAAGAGCAGACATAATAGGGATCACCCCTTGCACAGCATTACTCATTTGAATTCCTGAAGACATTTCTTTGTACTAGCAAGAAAAACACTGAAATCCAAAACCTGCAACGACTCCTCATAAACTTACCAAATTTCAAACTCTGAATTATGTACAAAGATTTGCAGAACTGGGGTCTTTATAACCACAAGCTGCTTTTGTAGATAAAATAAAAACACAAATCTCTCTCTAAACTATGGCAGAACACTTGTAAAATAAGGTGCAGCTGTAGCTGTATCTCTCTGCATTACCTTTAGTATAGACCATTTTAAAACCATATCCTTAAATAACCTGTTTTTGCTTGCCAAAATACAGAGCAACTGTGTCCAAAAAAATTCTGTTTTTAAATGTTCCTTGCAAAATGTCGGTTTTGCTATAACATTTCTCAAGGTGAGTCGATTTTCTCCTCTCACTGTATGTTTCATACATGAAGTAAGCAATGCTCAAAATTGCAAGAGGTGGCACTTAATCAGAGCATTGAGATACACTCCAGTCATGATGTAAACCTCTCAACATCTTTAGCACTGTATTAGTTTTGAATTAACATTCAGATGGTGGTTAAGGAGGTGGATGTTTTTTCCAGAAACTGTTGATACTCAGCATCTCTGAAAATGGAGTCAGAAACTTAATAAATCCATTAAGATTAAATATTTTAAAACAAACTTTCCAAGAAGATCCAATGGGTGTGGACTTGCTCAGTTTTCAACCCCCCAAATTTACATGCATGAAGTAAGCAGCCCTAATGCCCCACAGGTTGGGTGTGCACTTCACGAGTTTGCTTTTGCCAACCAACTGCCAATGTTGGCACACTACTCCCTGTCCAACCAAAAGGAATAAGGTTGTACAGAAAAGAAAAACCAACATCCTTTGAAAGTCATGTTGGTTTGACACATTAGAAATTTAAAGCTATTTTGTATTTTTATCTCTCATTCTCAACTCACCTTGCTTATTCCTCAATCTATGATGTGATACAAGAACTGATAAACTATAGCAGCCATCACAAAGAGAATACTTTAAACCTTTCTGACAGCCCAGGTAAAAGTGATTTCACCCAAAGTAGGCATGTTAGACAACCAGATGCTGCTGAGGCACCTGGATAGGAGATCAGGAACAGAGAGTCCAGACCAGGGCTTCAGACCTAGCTTCAGATTTAGCTTTGAAAATACAATTTTAGACACTAAATGAGAAAATCACAGGTTCTCAAAGAAGAGAAGTATCCTGGGAAATGGTGGACGGCTATAGGAATGCTTGATTTTAGCTTATCAGGAAACAGATATCTAAACACTGAAACGGAACATTAAAGAAAATCCTCTTCGTGTTAACCCAGCTTTAAAACCTGTATATGAAGGGATATTGCAGACAACATGCCAGAAGGGACAATGGTGATTGCTGTATCTAACTTCACAGGCCAGGTAGAATTCCATAACTCTACCCAGTTCCTATCAAAATGTGTAACAGACTAAGCAAGTAAAGTCTTTTCTTCTTCCCACATGTCAGTTCCTATGATCAGATGTGAAATACAGAACTAACGTTACTAAAAATTATCTCATGAGGAAAAGAAAATACTACTTCTCTTTAGTAAGCTTAACTTTTTAAAAACTGAATAAATTCTCAATGCTTCAGTGAGGAGTACAATAAAGGAAGGGAAAGTAGCAGATTACTTAAGTAATTAAGAAGGTGATAAAAGAAATGCTAAAAAAAAAGAGATTGATTTTCAAGTTTGTAGGGATGGGGAAAGGAAGGAATCCGTATTCACAAGTGAACCTAGATTAAAACAAAATCATCATGTGGTACAGACACTAATGTTTCATCAGATATTATGGCCTTGCTTATTGCTTAGTCACTAGCTTACCTTGCCCTAAAATAAAACTGAATATGTACAACATGTTATAATATGCTTGCCAAGCTACTTCCATTCTCTTGTTCTCCTGGAAGTAAAAAGACTACCTCTCTACTGCTGATACATTAAATATTGTTATTCCACCAAAAAAGCTACATTTATATGCATACTCCTCCTTCTGCTTACTCTGCATCATGCCTAAAAAAAGAACAACTCTAATCTGTAACAATAGAAATTAATATCTAATTTACTATTATTTCAGATTAAACGAAAAAGAAATCATATTCTTTTTTTAACTCCTAACACTGAGGAAAAGAAATAATTTTACTCAAAGCTCTATACCCCTTGGGAAAACATATTTTATAAATATCCTACTATCTCAGAAAGTAACAAATGAAGCTAGGAACAACTTTGTCCCTAAGAATTCAGCTTGCTGGGTTAGCAAAGATTGCAGCTGGTAAGCAACTTCGGTCTTCATTTGCTGGGTTAGGAAAAGGAAAACAAAGGAGCCAATCTTTCTAATTTCATTTTTCCTTGAAATGGCCAGTGAGTAAATCCTCTTGAGAACTCCTGCCTTTACCAGGACATGAGACTCTGAGCTACTTCCCACAACATCCTATTATTTCCAGAAAAAAAAAAAAAAAAAAGAGTGGTTTTATCCTGAAGTGGCCTTTCCAAAAGATCTGTATAGATTGATAGCAGGAAGCTCAGTGGACAAGGAAAGCAGCAGCTTTTCACTGAACACACTACTGTTCTGGAGAGCAGTATATTTGTGGACACATTCTTATTGCATTATCCTGTGATTCCTTGGAGTGCTGGTTTAGCAGCAACTGAAATCAAGCAAGTCACACTCCTCTGCTCTCTAACAAGACGGACACTGGGCTGCTCTGAAGACTCTACACTTACTCAAAATAGGATTTGATAAACAGATCTCTCTCTCTCTCTCTATATATATATATATTTTCTGCTGCATCTCTGGTGACAAGTGTGTGCATTGTATTTGTGATCCGCATACATAGACAGATACTTGAATCCTCCTTAAAGCCATTTCTAATCCCTTTTTTTTTTTTTTTTGGAAACCACCGGGGCAAG